TTTATTTTATGTCTTAAAACTTATAATGCTTTATATATTATTGAATTATATTTTCAAGAGATTATTTATTTACAAGGGATCCACAAATGTTTTTATATCAAACTTGGAAGTGCATTTGCTCAATCATGTATGAAGATCTTTATGGGGCAAATTGTGGGAACTAAACTTTAGTTTCACTCCGCTACTCACCCTTAGATGGATGACCAACAAAAATTATAAATTGTAGTATATGAAACTTATCACGATGCTTTTAAGGAAAAAAATATATAAAGCAATGGGATCTCACTTTGGCTAAGCTAAGTTTGCTTACAATCGGTGCATCATCCAAACAATATCAAAGTCCTTTTAAGTTTGTGTATGTCTAGAATACCATCACCCCTTCAGATTTAATTTCCATAATTATCACTTTGAAAAGTAATATTTATGGAGATAAAAAAGGGTTTAAAAAATGCATCATCAAGTTGAGAAATGATAGCTAAAAAGAAAATTACAAAATATTAGATGCTAGCTAATAAGTTTCACACTTTATTTTCTTTCAAGGAAGGTGATCATGTTTGGATTCATTTATGAAAGGAACATTTTCTTGTGGACCTTATGCAAAACTTAAACAAATGTTGATAAACAATTTAGGGTCATTAAACATATAAGAGAAAATGCCTATAAAATTGAATTAATTTAACAAACTTTTCACCCTACTATGAAAATAATAATAAAAAAAAAACTTGAAATTAAGGATGAGTCATCTCAATGTTGTGTTAGGAGGGGAATTATTTTTTTTAAATGTAAGCCTCATTTTAGTCTTATCGCTTATTTAGGGTAGTTTAGTAATTAATGTCTTTTGAGTTATTATTATATATTTTTTTTATAAATGCCTCATTTCCATGTTTGGAGTAGAGAGGTTTTTTTTTTTTTTTTGAGATTAGATTTCATATTTATCCTACTCAACCTTTAGGTGGATTTCCCCTTAAATTGGAGAGGTGAAGTGCGGATATCTTAGAGGAGTTTAGGACATTGTTATCATCTATAGACATAACCCAAAGCCTTTCCATGGTTGCTCTTAACATAATAGCATTCGTTGCAATCCTTTGGTAGAAGGGGCCGGGCAGCCGATCAATCTTGTAATAAATTCATTCATCATTATAATTAACTATGTTTCTTACATGAAACATTATTTTAATAAAAGTTGCAAGAGATTCCCTACTTTTCCCATGATAATCCTTGCCACCATATGTAACAACTTGAAAATTTGAAGAACACTTTAAAATGAAAAAAAAAAGAAAAAGAAAATATGCATATGAGCACTGTGACGCTATACTTTTGAGTGAAGTGGCTCTGAAGGGTGTGGTGCTGGGGCGTCGGAATTCGATGCGACACCAATGCTCTCTATATATTTACCCTCCATTAAGACCTTGCTTACCCCTCACTTTATTTCATGCCAAGGAAGGATCCGAGACATGAATAAGAAAAGGAAGAAGAGAAGAGGAGAGAGAAGAGAGAAGAAGCTCTTCGGAGATTTTTTGTCTGTCACTTCTGTTATAAAAAGTGTTTTAATCGTAATAAGTGACATCCACTCTACATCTATTTTCAACAATTTTTTTGAATTATATATTTTTATCTTCTAAAATTGATAAAAAAAGTAATATTGTCTGATTTGGTGAACTTTTAACGTGTAACTTTTGGAATCGTGATATATATCATTATTTTGAATATTTTGATTGGCTTATATCGTAATTTCACTAGTTAGTTTTTTACGTATGTTATTTTATTTAAAATAAGTGGGGGAAATACTAACTCTGAAATGATCAAGAGATAACATACTGAATATGAATATGAATATTTGATATTCATTTGATTAATATTCATTTACTAATAACATGCATTTTAACATTATACATGCATATAATGAGCGCATCGTAGATTTACATGCTATGATGATTGCATATATGATGTGTACAGGATGTTGTACATGAAGCCTTTTCATTTAGATGTATATATGATATGAAGAATATGGTATACATAAGAGCATGCAATTATGAATAAACCAATGTGTTAGGAGTGACGAGTGAGATTAATAATAAAATGATTGATAAAATGATACATGAGTATACTAATAACAACATTAAATATGCATGATGTTTATTTTTGCTATGATTACAATGAAGTGCATGTGTGCATGATATTCTGTATATGAGGGTGGGTCGACATACCTTTTTTAAAATAAAGATTGAGGTGTAAATCTGGATGTTGATTGGTTACATTGATGGGTAGATAGCAATGTTTGTTTATTGATAGACTGATTAGATTAATTATTGATGGACAACTATTAGATTGATGGATGACAAATATGATAGATGACAAATAATAGATAAGATATATAGGTGACAGATAAATGACATATTAATTATTGAGGTGACTGATTGACTGATTGAATGATATCAGAAATATGATTTATACGTAGCTAGAATAGTTTTGATATGTTATATGATAAGATGAATAAGTTTGATACAAGGGCAACTGATATATATTTACAGTATATATTATTTTACTATTATGCATTGACTTTAGTTCTAGATATTGGTGGCTTGTTGTGCTTTTTATGCTCATTATTTGTTTTTTGTATGTTCTCAGGTAACAGTAAGGATCTTGTAAAGTGAGGCTTTGGACACCATGCTTAGTTTTTCATTCTGCATGTATAAGTTATTCTTTTGTAGCATGATGTGTAGTAATGATGAACTAGTTTATTTTGTATCATAATTATTGTATATACATTATTTTGGGTTTGTATCAACTTTAAAATACTGTATAAATGCATCTATGTTTCTCACCATTTATATTCCGCTGTTTATATAAAAATAATTAATATCTTTGATTGATGTTTAAAAATATTTAAATTAAATTAAATGAAAAGGAAAGGCAATTCTCCCGAATTAGATTCTGAGGCGTGATAGCATATGCAACTACAATATTCTTAGTAGGGCTGCAAGCGAACCAAATGTTTGACGAGCTACTCGTTGCTCGGTTCGATTAAAGTGATCGTTTAAATAACTAAACAAACAAACTTGAACAACATTTTAAATACTCGATCCTTAAATAAACAAGCTTGAACACTAATGTGTTCGGTTCATTTATGTTCACGAACAACATTATTTGAAGCTCGTGAACAAGCTCGAAATTAAGCTACATTAACATGAACCGAACATGAACACTGATAAATTAAATGAACCAAACATGAACATAAACAATAAAGCTCGAATCAAACATGATCCAAACTTGAACAAGGTAATAATAAACAAACTCAAACATGAACACTCGCATACTCGGCTCGGCTCGATTCGTTTGCAGCCCTAATTCTTAGAATAAATTATTCAATGATTGGATTTGCCTTTGTGGTCCTTGGAAGGGTTCTGATAATAAGTTCTTCTCATTTTCTGATTTGGAAGCAAAGTCTACAAATTGTGCAAGAAGAGCAAGGCAATTTTCCATCATCCCAACATTTCAGGAACACCTACACTGTACAGGTTTTAAATTTCATCTTTAATCTAATAGTCCCAATCATATTATTTGTTCTTGACATGCTCCATTGGCAACTCTTCTTTTGTTCGCTAATAAATTACTCATATTTCTTTAATGCATTGCATGCTCCGAAGAGCTTAGAAAATCTTGATTAATTATTCAAGTGGAGCCTGGGAGAATACATAACTTTGGAAATTAGCTTTTAAGTGGGAATGATGGGGTCTCAAATACAGAAGATGGCAGCTAGATTTGGACATTTTTGAATCTAAGAAGCGAACAAATATACTTCATAAGATAAAATCAGGGGCTGTTCCAGCCTTATTTTTCAGAGTGAGCAGACTTATTATATAAAAATTTTAGCTTTTAAAATTTTAAGAAAAATATTAAAATTTTAATTTATGAATTAAAAAAAATAAAAAATTGCATATGTAATTGGATCATATGCATTCATTATATAATTTATATTTTTTTTTAAATGAATCTATATAAAATTGATGTTTTTTCTCCATCAATCGGCCTAAATCATCATGGTCAATGAAAAATAACCTTAGTCAATTAGGACTTAACCAAGGCAAGGTCTTCATTAACATACCTAGTCATTGCAGAAATCGCTGCGCTTGCATTACATTGGTTTTGGTTTGCTCATCAATGTGATGTAGGTGTATGTGAATTTAATACGAAAACTAAGAGAAGTAATAATTGAAAATTAAATTTGATTTGGTTCTTTGAAGTTTCATATTTTATATGGAAAAAAATAAATTTGAGAGAAGTTTTGCTAAAATAAATAATTTCAAATAAAAAGCAAGAAACTGGCTACTTTCTCGTCAGACTCAAAACAAGGACCACAAAGAGGGGAAAGTTGGCTTCGAAGAGAGAAGAAAAGGTGAGAGGAAAGAAGAGACCCCATCCTTAATGCAGATTCTAAAAACTTGAAAAATCAATAGTAAAAATGAACGGCGAGAATGATGAGAGGGATAGCATATTAGAGTCTTCGACCTCTTCTTCTTGTCGGGCCGTGAGGCGTCGACCATTGCGAGAATGATGACCTCTTCGACGCTGAACGCTGAAGGTTGTGCGCAATTTGTCATGCCGAACGCAAAAAGTTCGGAACTTCGGATGGATGAACAAACAACGCAAGATGGGTCATATTAGAGTAAAAATTTATTTTTGAGGGGTGAGAAGTAGAATTCCAAAATTACTCATCTTCTGAATTAAATATATATATTTTTTTTGAGTGTGGGCATTTACCCACCCTGACTATGATGGGGATCAGCCATAGATAAAATTATATTTATTTGATTTTCTTCTTTAGGTTATTGTCAAGAGCAATACTAGCGGGCTATAAATTTTGCATTTGTTAAATTGTTAAGGTTAGTCGTGTAAATAGTCTTTGATATTTTTCATAACAATATAAGTTATAGTTGTTGGTGTTAATGCAAATATTAATATTTTGAAGACATTCTATAATTCTATATTTGCAGTAATTATTTTTATTGAGCGGGTAGAGCACAGCAATTTTTTTTTCTTGTTTCCGAAGAAACTAGAGGCTAGCAAATCCAGCCCCCGCTCTGTAAGTTTGGAGGATCACAGGGTCTTCGCCATTACTATTCCACCGCCGGAAGTGAGCAACAATGGCGTATGATCTCAAAGACGACGTCGATAGACTCTTTGCTTGTTTTAAGTGCGGAGTTTCGCCTCCCCGTGAGTTTACCTCAACCAAAACTCTTAATGATAATAGTCAAAAACCGGAAAAGTTCTTTAGACAAGCGGGCGCTTCATGCTTTTGATTTTCTTTCTAGCTCTGTTACCAGACCATTAGTTTGTCTTTGTTAATGCGATTTCTTCTCTCTTTTTTATAAACGGTCGTAGCATCAGCGTTGAAGGAAAGGAAAAGCAGTGAGCGGAAGCCTTCCGGACCGGCAAAAGGAGGATCAGGATCTCCTGTGGTTGATGAGAAAGAAGCGCCTAGCTGTTCCAAGCAAGGAGACGATAATGTCATGGAGGGGCAGAAGGTAGGGTTTCCTTACCCGTCCTTTCGCTTAAATATCGCATTTGTCTTCCTAACATTGTTAGTTTTTCCCATGCATTGTTGGAAAGTGGAACTTATTTATTTCCGTCAGGTCTTTGCACTATCCGGACTAGCTGATGACATGCTATGCAAGGTGTAAAGATGGCTTTCCCCGTTTTTACTTTATCTCCCTAATCCTCTCACTATTGTTCTATCCGTTGTGCTAGGGTTTATATTGGTTTTGTTTTAACCTTCTTTATAACTTTGGAAATGCGTTGGAGCAATATGGAACAGCATCTCGCTTTATTTAGCCCTGCTTCTCTCAACACTTTCTGCTTCTCTCTCCGTTTGTCTGGCTTCCTATCTCACATCATTTGATTTTCCATTTAGTTTATCCAATGGTACTTATGCTAGTGATCAACTAACAACTTGGCATATGTAGCAATTCTGGTACTAGCATCTTTCAAATTGCTACCTTGCAATCTAGTTTTACAGAAAAAAAAAGAATGTTAAGCTCCAAGCATTTTTATGTTTTTTAAAAGTAGTCCTGATTATTATTATTTGATAGATTTTTTGCTCAAGTTTGTTCCATAAGGTTTTCTGACTTTGATATGTTTAATTCATGAGTAAGTTATTATTAGCAAGAAACATCTCAATGGAGGAACTTTTAAGTCACTTTCCAGTAAGTTGGTGGGTCCTATCTGAGAACCTTTTAGGGAAAGCTTTCATGTAGTCAACAGGAGATAATGAGGATAGTGAGTGACTGGCGCTTTAAGGTGTAGTAGCAAAGTGGAGTCGCGAACAATTTTCATGTGGAATTAGAATGGAACTGCATTTTACTCACAATGCCAAGTGAATATACAGTAACTTAAGTTCATCCAAATATCTTACTTTACACTAATCACTTAAATAAAATAGCCCCTTAGAATAAAATTTATGTATTTTTGTTCTTATTGAACTTTGTTTTGATTTGCCATTTCCACTTGTCCATGCTCTTCTACAATACTTTTTGGTGTCTTGTTATTCTTATCTGTAGATAGTCTTGAACAATATGCTGTTCAACTTAATTACAGTGAAGATTTACTTCGCAGTGTGGTTCATCAACAACTGCTGCGATAAAATTTCGGAGTGGCAAGCAGATATCTCCAGTCATCTTCTATGGATCTGCACGGGGTGTCCCTGTTAAAAGACCATCAAGAATTTTGAGATTATTACAAGAAATTCGAGTTGATCTTAGGGAAGAGAATGTTTTGATCCCTAGGTATGTGCGTAGAAGCTTAAAGTTGCTGCAAATCTCTTGATTAGCTCGTTGCAATTCATGCAATAGTGAATGCTATTTCTGTGTGCATATCCATTGCTTATGTTTAGCCCTTTAATTTCATTTTAATCTCAGGGATGGTGTCTGGGCTACATTCCCTAGACAAGAAGAGGCGTTCAGGTTTGCCAGAACACACAGAAATAGTAACGTGTTTAGTTATCAAGATCATTTGACTGGGAAAAGACGGTTCCTTGTGTCTACATATGTTGAGTTTTGGAGAAGGTTAAGTTTTAAAATTTAACCTGTCATCTTTTTGTTTGTCTATTTTTTGGGGCGACCTGTTTAAGTTTTTTAAGGGAAGTGAAGCTTCCCACTTTTGAAATTGACTTCAGGCCAAATCGAGAAGGAGAATCATGATTAACAGACAACTTATGCCTGTCATTGTCTCAGTTTAAGTAAATTCCTCCCTTTCTTTTAGCCAACCATGTGGAAGGTTCTTACTTGCATCACTTTACTTAAAGGGTATCACGTACAGACAACCACTTGGTCCTTTAGTGGCAAAGGATGTAACAATAACCAATAGCTAGAAATAGAATTAAGCATTTGAAAAGAGTGTATCACCACAATAGCATAATCTTTCTAGAACAGGCATTTCTCAAGCTCTTTTTTCCCATGCTAATTGCCATATATTTTTTTGTAGGTATAAAAGTATGGACTCCAAATTACGGCATCATTATGAAGTTATTCAAGAGGTATTAGTTAGCTTTGCGTATCTTATTAGTTTTGTTTTGGAAGACAAAAATATTTAGTAAGGTGAATAAAATTCAACATTACCATTTGAGTTTAGAAATATTTATTTTCTGGCTAAATCATGTTTAATATATTTAAATTGACCCATAAAATCAGTATGAATTAGAGAATAGTTATTTAGGGAAAATTCATGAGGATGCAGCTACAAAATTTTGACCATGGATAATAATTATGCCCATGATTTTGGTTTAGCGAATTTTTATCAATAGTGGAAACTGCAATATTCTTTGTTTTGGAAAGATGGTTGCATAGCAGGCTAGGATATATCTTGAATATGCTTTCTATGGTATGCTATATCTTAGAGATAAACTTGGTGTGTCTTAGAAATATTTGTCGGCTCTTCCTCACGCACAGGAAGCCCTCTCTCTCTCTCCTGCATTTCCTACCGAACGGCCTCCCTGCACCATCCGGACCCGAGCCACCTCAGTAATTCCATGATTGACCTGCTCTTGCTCGCGATTCCGTCCCATCTTATGCGAACCATTCGACATCGAACCCAACCTCCCATCTTCCGCCGACCGACCTCCCTCTGTGAACCTGAAGCTATGGGTCTGCTTCCGCAGTTGCTCCTCTTGCGAGCCCGAATTCATGGGTCCGCCTCCGGCGGCCGCACCTCCTTCAACGAAACCAACTCCCGCTCTACCTCTTGCCTTTGTGTCTGACCTCGATTGAACGAGTGCTTCGCTTGTCGTTTCCTTAGTCCACACTCGACCGTATAAGGCTGAAGGCTTGCGAACAAACCCGAATTCCACCTTCTGTGAATGAGCCTGTCAGCCCTCTTTCCCATATTCTCTGTACAACATGCAGACGTCAACCCGAGCCATTCCGATCTCCTTCCTCCAACCTGATCAATCGACTCAATCAACTCAATCAACTCAATCAACTCGACACCGATCCTAAATACCGGTTGTCTTTGATTAAGTAATTGGAATAAAATTTTCTTTACAATTAAGCATATATATATTAAACATATATCATACGTCAAATGGAGGAGTTGAAGACATACACCGTGGTCGATTCGCTCCCTTAAAGCCCTCAACCGTCGATTCGGTCCGGCCGAGTTGACCCAAAGGGGTAAGTGCCCTCCCCAACCTCCCCCCTCCCCTCGCTGGGAGGGGCACCGAAAGGCTATCGAAATTCCTAGGAAAATTCTGAAGCAAACAAATGCTTAAGAACCGATACCAGGGTCGGTTCTCTCCCCCGAAGCCCTTGACCGTCAATTTGATTTGGCCGAGCAGATCTGAAAGGGAAAATACCCTCACTAACCTCCATTCACAGGGAGGGGATGTTGGGAGGTTGCCGATGTTACCTCGGGAAGCTGCCAAATTTGCCTCAGGAGATTGCCGAATTTTCAAGAACTATCAGAGAGTAATTTGAAAATTCTATTAATCTAATAATTAATTAAATTAAATCTCATAATTAATAAATCAATTAAATCAATTTTAAATTCTAAATTCCCTTAAATAATTAACCAGTCAACTCTAAATAAAAATTTAAATTCTCATATAATTAATTGATTAATTTCAAATAAAGTCAATAAAAGTTTTTGAATTAAAATAAAAAAAATATTTTATTAATTAATCATTTAAAAATAAAAAATCTAATTAATGGAGTATTTAATAATCAATTTAGAATAAAAATCTAATTTAAAATAAATTTAAAGTTTAAAATTTAATTAATCGATTGAAACCTAATTTAATTAATTAAATTGATTAACCAATTTAAAACACATCTTATTAATTCATAAATTAAATAACCATAAAAATGAAATAAAATGCATAAAAAAATAAAATTATTGTTTGCACTATACAAACCTTTGTGCAACGCTCATAAACTAAACTCTGAACTCAAACACTAAAAAATCAAACTCCAAAAACTCTTAACAAACCTAAACCCAGCTCCAGCTCCTGGCAAGTCCAGCTCCTTTTTTTGCTAGTTAGGAATATCTTCAAAAAAGTAGACGAAAGTCAGCGCAAGGTAAACAAAATTTTTATTGGAAAGAATAAAGCTAGTACTAAAACAAAACTAGTTAGAATAGCTAGTACTAAAAGAAACAAAACTACTATTATAGGAAAGACGGGTATTGGAACAAAACAAGTAGGTAAAGCTACTACTATAGGCAAAACTAGTGCTGAAAGAAAACTAGAACTGTAGGCAAAACAAAATGATATAAACAAAATACTGAACAAGCAAATATACTAAAGCAAAAAGACAAGCTACTGAAGTAGGACAACTACGAGCACTAATATAAGCAAAATCACAGTAAACTATTAAAGGCTAGGGTAGAAAGCACTGGTGTCAAGTGGTAGGGTGTGTGACTACTCTAAAGTTTGCCTAATAAGCAACTACTAGCTAAAGCAGGTTAAATCTCAGTTAAATTAATACATGCAATCTCCCAAAGGGAATTATGAAGCCTCCCAAGGGGAGCAACAAATCCTCCAAAGGGGAGCAATCAACCCCACTCCAAACAAACTAGGGGAAATCCATAGGTAGAAGTAATCTAACCCTAAATCTCACCTACTGGTCGCTCAACTTGTAGGGCTAGGTTGTAAGACCCACCTACATGCTACTTCTAAATTCATAAGCCGTAAGACTTATTAAAATAGCTTGGTCACTTCTAATTGAAGCCATAAGACTCGCTATATGGGTCACTTCTAAGTGAAGCCGTAAGACCCGTTATGTGGACTACTTCTAAGTGAAGCAGTAAGACCCGCTTTTAACCAAGCTATTTAGAGAAATTACCAAGTGAAGCATCGAACTCTAAAAAAGGCTAAGCTATATGGGCTACTTCCAAGTGAAGCCGTAAGACCTGCCACATAGGATACTTACCCACTCAAATGCAAAATTACATGCTTGCTACTAAAGCCCTGCTAAACTAAATCCTCCCTAACCCAACGCACAGGCCACTTCTCATAGAGGCTGTAAGTCCACTTTAATTAGGGTGTCAGGGAACTCTTTCCCAGAACAAATAACACATCCCTGATAACCTTTACTATATATAATAGAGGTCATAAGACCTGCTGAACGGGTTACTTTCAATGAAAGCAGTAAAACCCAACTTGTCAAATTCACGGGCTACTTTCAATGAAAACAGTAAAACCCAACTTCTCAAACTCACGGGCTACTTTCAATTAAAATAGTAAGACCCAACTTCTTAAACTCACGGGCTACTTTCAAGCAGTAAGACCCAACTTCTCAAGCTCAATGGGCTACTTTCAATGAAAGTTGTAAGACCCGCTGCACTGGCTACTTTTATTAAAAGCCGTAAGCCCCAGCCCCAAATCTAAATTAAACAACTGGGTAACTTCTAAATAAATTTATAAATCCTAAACTAAATTAAATGATAGGTATTCTAACAGATGAAAAATCCAAACCATAATAAAATTAAAATCTACACATACTTCAGTTTAATCGGGATTCCTGAGAGGAGACAACTCATAGCTGCTAATCAAATTTTCGTGAATACTATGATCAACATTTGTTAGTGTTGGTAGATTGAAACCTACAATATTTCTTGGATGACGGAACCATAGGATCTTGATTGGGTCTACCTTCATCCCCCACATTCAAAGTTTAAAACTATTGCATGTCTAAACATTGATTCATCCTTAATCGAGAGTTCTCTTCTATGTGTTAGGAGGGGTAATTAACTATGAGGGTTTGTGCTCATAGGAAGTAGAATCCCATAACTAAATAAATTCTGGTGCCGATCATCGGGGGAATTCTGGTTAATTTAAAATCCAATTTACCTTAGGAAAAATGGGACCTTAAGCTTGAGAAAGCAGGGTTCGTGTAGTAACGCCATCTTTTCCTGATTGAACATTAGTATTTATGCTCCAACATGAAGAGTCATTCTTAAATTGTAGTTAAGAAGACAATCTGTTTTGATGCATTTAGGGCTTATGGTGGTGTTTTTATCTTTCATTCTTTGTTGATACCCTGAGAAAAGTGAAGAGCAGTCAATAGAAGATGAAAAAAAAGTATTAAAGAACTTAAAAGGCCTAAAAAATGATAACCTAAAGGTAATGAAAATTGTTTTCTTGTGTATCTTTTCAGTTCTTGATGGTAGGACTTAGCTGGTGCATACGCAATGATTGGTCAATAGTTTCTTATGTTGGGATTAATCAACTGTTCACCCCGTATTGTCTAGCTTTTTAGAAATGTAGAATTTGTGGCCGATGGATCCTTGCTATCCCTGGTTGCCTTGTTGTATACACCATATCCTAATGTAGCTGCCTAGAAGAGGTCCCACAGTTGCTTATTGAGAGTTATTGTCTGTCGTCTCCACTGTAGTTGTGTGCAGCTTTCTTCCTTGTTGCAGCTGGCTTTGTCTAGTCCATTTGAGAAAAGCCCAAGTTTCAGTGGGTTGGTTCATACATGTCAATGGTGCAAAATGGCGCGCGCTAGGCACACGTCGCGGTGCATATAAGGAGCTATTTGCTTGACGCGGCGTGCCATATCAAAATAGCGCACGCTATTTGTGCCATGATGGGAAATGGCGCATGGCACAAATGGCACGCTTTATTTTGTTAACATGTTATGAACTTGAAATTATAAATTATAATTAAAAATTTTAAGGTTTATATATTAATATCATAATTAATTATTTATTAATTAAACATCAAATTAATAAAATATAAAAAAAATTAAATGATTTAACTTCTTTATATGATTTAATGTTATCTTTTTGCTATTTAGTAGAATTTAGATTAAAATTATGCTTAAATAATGTTCAAATCTATTGATGTAAGTTTATGTAGGATTTAAAATTGTTATTTTTGTTGTTTGACAGGATATTTATGCTTATATTTTGCTTTAATCAGCATATTATTTTTCATTTAATGGTATTTAATATTAATAACTTTATATTTTAACTATTTTACTTTGTGCGCCATGTTTGAAATGGAGCATGCCGCACCGTGCGCTATGCGCCATGGCTCCACGGAGAACTTTTTGTCGTGGTGCGCCATTCGCCATTGACAGGTATGGGTTGATTGTGATGGAGTCAATGATTTCACTATGACCTTCCTTCTCCTGTCCACCTGTCCAAGAACTCGGTAACCTCTCTAAGAACCCGAAAATCCATACTCCAAGAGCAGAATTCTAAAAATTTATTGATCAATGAGAAAATTACACAAGAGGAAGAGGCTTTAAATAGGTCCTAACCCCTCAAACAACAGATCAACAATTACCGAAATACTATGCAGCATAAAAAAATGGTAGAATCTCCTTTAGCAAAAAAGAAAATTATACAGATAATCTTATAAACTTAGCTAAACCGTTTGCCATCTTTTTGCTTCTCCTTATAAGGGTATTTTCTTCTTAGTTTTATTTGAGTTCCACTCCTATGTAACCGTTAATTGGTTGTCATAATCAACTACATGAAAGAGCTCACACAGCTAGATATTAGTGCCAAGGCAGCTAATGTTTTTATTTTTTATTTTGTTTTTCTACAAATTTTAAACCATTCTATGACTATTAACCGAGAGTATTTGGAAATGTTTAGGGCGTAGTTTATTGGTGCCTTCTCATGTTCAATAACTTCAGTATCTTACTGTATTTCTATAATTTACCATTCTATAATTTGATTCTAGAATACATAAAATGTTGCTTTTGGTGAACTAATAATAGGATAACTAGCCACTTGAATAAATATGGTAAAATCATAATTTGGAATTTTGGAGTAAAGCACCTTTTATATGAGTTGTCAGCTTGAAGCTTGATGTCGAATTGATTAGGCTTCACATCCTCTGTAGATATGCTATCATCTACTCACTGAATCAATTCAGTTTAGAATATTTAGCCTTACGTAAAACTTAAAAGTCAAGCTTTGGGAAGTTTTGAATTTTTACATTCTTTTAGATCTTATACCATGATAGCACATTTTTGTCATGGGCAAGGATATGAATGATCATTCCGTAAAGTCCTCTAATGTGTTGTCTTCCAGGTAAGGTTTTGATATGCAGTTCCTTTTCACTTGTTGGAACACCATCTCCATGTAACCATTATAGCCGTGCAATGTCATTCTTTGAACTTTATCCTAACATAATAGGAGTTTCCTCTACTGATTACATTAAAGTTAATCTGGCTCCATGCTGATGCATGTTTGATTTGTTAACTCCAACTTAGCTATCAATTGATTTGAAACTATCTTTTTTGGCAGATCTCAAAATATTTTTGCATGGATTTGCATGAAATGTGTTAGACATGGTAACACTCTAAAAACGAACAAACGTAGCATTTGGCAGCATCTGCTTTAATGAAAGCTATCTTAACTTTTTTTCAAACATACAAACTATTGTTATGTTCTTTTTTCCTGTTATGCTAACTCAATTATGCTTTATTAGCAAATTTCTATGCTCAAATTCAATAGTTTTATTAGAAGAAAATACTGAGTGACTTCCTTTCCAGGGTCATCCTTGCCATCTATATTTTGACCTTGAATTTGATAAGAGGCTCAATATTGGTAGAAATGTAGACGAGATGGTCGACATTTTGATATCTGTCACTTTAACTGCTATATATGAGAAGTATTCTATTCAAGCAAATCATGAATTGGTTGTAGAGCTTGATTCATCTACTGAAGGTATGCACTTTATGCTAGGTGTTTTATAATTTTAAGTACTGCTTCTTTACATTGTCTACGCATAGTTTATTATAGACATATCTATTGCGTTTCATTATCCTATTTATAATTATGCCTGAATGTATTTTTAAGCCTCCATTTCCTCTATATTTAGGTAGTTGGTTGTATGCTAGGTTTCCTGTGTAAAAATCCTGAATGTATTTTTAAGCCTCCATTTCCTCCATATTTAGGTAGTTGGTTGTATGCTAGGTTTCCTGTGTAAAATTTTTCATTACAACACTTAAAATTGAGATTTTGAACCTCCTTAGCTGATTCAAATATATGAAGCATGCTTACAGACAGGAATATACTGGGACACTGACCTTGATACACATAGAACATGTACTAATATTATGTATAAATTTGCATAATAACCAAAAAATACCTTAAAATTTTATTTAAAATGTGACAAAAGAAATATTTTACCACCGCATGAGGCATAACAGTTAAGGTGCCTAAAGGAGATAGAAATAGGCTTTGTTTGGGATGGTTGCAACTTTTTGTTAATTTAGTTGTTAAATTATTATGGGAAAAATAGAGTTTTGTAATGCTACCATGAGTATTATAAACTTTTTCTGTCCAGAAAAAGTTGAACATAAGCTTTCTTATTGCTATTATATTCTAGTATATTTGGTTTTGAAAAATTATTTCTTTGCACAAATATTTCTAAAATGCAGCATGAAAGTTGTAGTCAAATAGAAGTGTGTCAGCAATATGTAAAGTGAATCTGCCCCAAATGTGCTTTTTAGTCAGAAAGCCAAATATATGAGAAAGAGAAAGAAGTAAGATATTAATCCGAATGAGATTAAGTGATGCATGTGCTAATGATGTAGAACAACCTAGTTATGTTCATTGAATCTGGAAATGTGCCCCTCGCTCAAAATGTCCATTTACAGTATTTTTAGTCTACATACTGCAAGGTATAACGAGAATAAATTTGATTTGAGCTACCTAAGCATAAGAATAATTTGCTAATCATCCAGGTTTGCATGTGTTAGTTAAACGCACTTGGCAAGTACATCAAGCTCATATTACATTTGCACATCACATATAGCTGCAAATTAAACAACTTATTCTGTGTAGAATTTTCTCTCAAGTTTTTTTTTATCCTTACGAAATTTTGTCAAGTTTGTAATCTATAGAAGCATGCATTTCTTAAGAAAATATAGCTTTTTCAATTTGTCTCTATTTGATCTTGCTTGTTTTGGTGTATTGGTGCTTGCCGAGCTCAATGATGATAGCTTGCTGTTTCTCCCGTGAGACTGGAAGCTCAATGGCATTCATTAATCATCCTTACGTATTGAAGTTGTCGTTCAAGTTGCTGAGACATTCTTCCGACTAACGATGCATGGTGTTCATGTTGCTGAAGATAAACATTATTTTTATGTTGCCAAAAGCTTTTGTCCAATCTCCAAAGCTTGTCATCATGTCAAATTATCAGTACAGTACTTACTCTTGGTTCAACAGGAATACGTAGAAATTTTTTAGCTGTAGAGCTCCACTGAGGAATTTCAATAAGCATAGATAAGTTGAAAGAAGGGAAACTATTCATATCTCGTTTTACCATTCATTTTCATAACAATAAGTAGTACCAAATTAACAAAACAGTTTGAACTTCAATGCAATTGTATACACTTATCTAAAATCCTTGCGCCATCTGAATGTACTTGATGGTTTTAGTTAATGCTTATACCATCTTAATCATTTTTCCAGTCAAGAATACCCTATTTTTTGGTCAAATTGATAATTCTCAACAACATTTAAATTTCAAAAATGAACTTGCATATGCTCTAAACCGAACCCCCAAGAAAATAGGGATCTAATAGTAGCTGATATTATAGAATTATGCTCCAAAATGGCCAAGATACATCTTGGGTTGGAGTAAAGGCTAAGGAAATTGATAGTTTAAATCAGGAAATTGGTAGTTTATTATTTAAACTATGGTATTCAAATAGGAGTTGTACTAGAAATGACATAGGTGTGATTATAAATAAGATTTTGAAGAAAAATATTGTAGAAATTAATAGAATTGAAGATAGAATTATAGTTTTAAAGATTGCTATTGATGTTAAAATTATTAATATTATAAGTGCTTATGCTCCTCAAATATATTTGGATGTGTTAAAAATTAAAATTTTTAAACGATTTAGAAGATTATTACAAATGATATCTTTTAAAGAAAGAGTTTTTATAGGAGATTTAAATGGATATGTTGGAGAGTTGTATAAGATTTTAAGAGCATTCATGGTGTCTATGAGTTTGGAGCGACTAATGAAGGTAGTAGGATCTTATTAGATTTGTAATTGCTAATACCTTATTTAAGAAAAGAGAGGAACATATCTTCACTTATAAGAATGGATATAGTAAAACTCAAATTGATTATTTTCTTATAAGAAAAATATATCGTTTAGATTTCAAAGATTATATAGTTATTATGAGTGAAAATTTATGTATCAAGTATCGCTTATTAGTTTTAGACTTTAAGATGAAAGAGCAGAATATAAAAATAAAGTAAAATATTATCCTAGGATTAGATGGGAGCATTTAAAGAGCATTAATAAAAATATTTTTGAGATCAAGATTCAAGATCTTAAGATTTTGACTTTGCATGAGAATCTAATATTATGTGGGAAAAAGATGTTAGTGATATTAAAAAAATTGTATAAGAGTGGGCTTGGAGTATAAAAAGAAAAAAAATTTAATAGTAAAAATAGTGACAATGAAATTAAAATATGCAAGAAAAGATAAAAAAGTAAAAAGCTTTATTATAAAAATTAATTTAGATGTAAAAGCTCAAAAAATTGGGAAGATATATATGGTCCTATAAGGAGTCTAAGAACGTAATATGCAAGGCAAATGATTTAGTTTTTAATGATTTATATGATAAATTATATACTATGACAGGCGAAAGGTGTATGTATAAGTTAACCAAACAAAGAGATAAGAAAAGTTGAGTTTTAGTTCAAATGAAGTGCATTAAAGATGATCAAAAAGTGCTTTTATTAGAAGAGAATATTCAATAAAAAAGGATGAGATATTTCGATAAGCTTTTCAATGAAGATTGTGAGATTACAATTGAATTTAGTGATCTTAGCACCCTCAATAAAAATAGAGATATTTGTTTTTATCTTTAGGTTGATGAGTGTCTTGACCCTTAGAGATGGGATACGAAATGAGCATATACGTGATAAGGTTGGTGTAGCTCCGGTGGAAGTTAAGATTAGAGAGAGTCGCCTTAGATTTGGTCACATTAAACGGAGGCCTTCCGATGACACGATTAGGCAAGTTGAGGTATTAGATTCGACTTATGTTAAGAAAGGTAGAGATAGACCTAAAAGACTTGGTTAGAAAATATTAGAAATGATATTTCTTTACTAGATTTAAATGAGAATTTAACTTTTAACCGGACACAATGATGAAAAATGATCCTTGTAGCCGACCCCACGTAGTGGAACAAAGCTTGATGTTGTTGTTGTTGTTGTATTAGTAAAACCTAAGTTAGAGAGACTTTAAAGAAAATGAAGTGTGAAAAACTGTTGTACTTTATGATATTCCAATAGAGGTGTGGAAATGCTTTGGAGATGAATGAATTTCTTGGCTTACAAAACTTTTCAATATTATTTTGAAAACTAAAAGGATATCAGATGAGTGTAGAAAGAGTGTGTTGATTCCTATTTTTAAAAATAAAGTTGATGCACAAGAGTGTATGTATTAAGAGAGTTATTGAGCATACGTTATGACGTGATACTAATGTTTCTCAAAATCAATTTGGATTCATGCCGGCTAGGTCTATATTTATTGGGAGGTTTGATGGAGAAGTATAGAGTGAATAAGGAGGAGCTATATAATGATATTTATTAATTTAGAGAAATCACATGATAAAGTTTCAATAGAAGTTCTTTGGAGAGTTCTATAAATGAAAACGCTTAATAATGCTTATATTCAAATCATTAAGGATATGCATGCAGGAGTTGTTACTTGTGTTCAAATACAAGGTGATTTGATGAAGTATTTTCCTATTTCAATTGGATTACATCAAGGATTAGCTTTAGGCTTGTATCTTTTTGATTTAGTCATGTATGCTCTTATTAGACATTTGCCAGGGGATGAACCTTGGTGTATGCTTTTTGTTTACGATATTCTTCTTAGTGATAAGATTAGGGAGGGAGTTGAAGGAAAACTTGAATTATGATGGTCAACCTTAAAATTTAAAGGTTTTTGTTTGAGTAGATCTAAAACTGAATTCATGGAGTATAATTTTAGTAGTATTAGATATAGTGTGGGGATTGTGAATTTGGGTAATCAAATTATGAATAAGAGTACATGTTTTAGATATATTTGGTATATTGTTCAAAGTGATGGTGAAATGGATGAGGATATTATTAGTAGAACTCAAGTTGGATGGTTGAAGTGGAGGAATGCATTGGGCCTATTGTGTGATAGAAAAATATCCCTCAAACTTAAGGGAAAATTCTATAAGATGGTGGTGTGACCTACAATGCTTTATAGCACTAAGTGTTGGCTATTAAAAGAGAAGCATAAAAGTTAAGTGTTGCAGAGATGAGGATGCTCAGGTGGATGAGTGGCTTCACTTTTAGGGATAGAATGCGAAACGAGTATATACGTGGAAAGGTTGGAGTAGCTCCAGTGGTATATAAGATTAGAGAGAGTCTCCTGTGATGGTTTGGACACATAAAATGTCGGGGGTCTAAGAACCCCGTTAGGAGAGTAGATGTATAGACCTAAAAAGATTTGATTAAAAATATTATAAAAGACATTTTCTTATTAGATTTAAATGAGAATTTGACTCTTAGCATGTCACAATGGAGAAAAAAAAGTTCATGTAGCCGACCCCACATAGTGGGATAAAGGCTTGATGTTGTTGTTGTTGTAGGATGTTCAAACATGTTGCCTGTGAGTCTTGTTTGAGGAGAATCTTTGTTTTTTTTTTGAAGTATTATAAATTACTTCTGCGAGGCATCAATCATATATGTATGCATTTGAATTTACACGTTTATGAAGTCCTTAGAGTGGTTTTGCTAATTCTACGCTATATATATGCTTAGTATAATACTTTTTTGTTTTGCCAGGTATTCTGCCTGTTTTAATTTGTTTTTACTTGAATTTTTTATTTTTCTGTTGGACATACATTTTAAATGAAAGTTTACTAATTTAATGAAAATATTTTTGATATTTGGTAGAAAAGTTCTCACGTCATTTGATCATTCGTCTTCCAAAGACTGCCTTCAAAGATAACTCACATGTTGGTGCATTTGTTTCTGAGGTAAGTTGGTTTGAATCTCGTGTGAGATCAATGTATTTTATTGTTACTACATTATTTATAATGCTTCTATACATACATAGTTACTGTTCCTTGTGATGCCAACAATCCAGTTTTCAAATTATTTATTTCTATAAGAACTACTTATTTTTATTATAAATTCTTTTTTTTGTAATGTCTGTATTATTTGTGACCACGAAGTGCAGCCATTTTCTATCTTCATATTATTTGTGACCTTTAATTTTATTATCATGTTAGTGAACATAGAAGAATAGCGTGCAAAATCTACTGAGAAATCTTTTGTCAGCATGGTTTACAATCCAGTGCAGCCATTATCTATCTTGTTGTATTTTAAATTTTTAATCAATGATTCTGCAACATTTATCGCTAATTATTTGTTAATATATTTATTATGTTGATGATTGCTTTTACCATGTGAGGCAGAGTGCCACACTGTGCTGTTATTATAAGTAGGCAGAGTGCGGTGAAGTTCTTCACATACTATTTGCAGAAAGTGCGGTAGAGTACCACGAAGTGCTGTAATTATAAATATGCAGAGTTTTGCAAAGTTTTTTTACACGTGTTTGAGTGCCACCAAGTGCTGTGATAATATATACCGCCTTCTATGTGTTTCCTTAAACAGACTTTATCTGCAATGTTTTCATTCTTTCAGATTTGCTCGCGAATTGCAAGTTTGAGGGAAATTGATCCTCGAGTTAATAAATTATATATTAGGAAAGACTCATGCTGTTCTGATTCAGCGGATCACCTTTTTCTTGATTCTGCCGTGTACTCTCGAAACCGCTGCTTTCGTCTGGCCTTCTCTTCAAAGTCTGGGAAAAGCTCATTTTTGTTACCCACTGGACGCTTCAAATGTAAAAACATGGTAAGATGCATGCTTTTGACACTTCTAATAGACATCCATATCTTTTTACCTGTTGTTTGCATCAAATATACGAGCTTTTTGTTCAAAATTTGCATGTAAAAAATGCTTGACGTGAAGTTTTGTTCTGTCTTTAGCTTTTGACTTCCATGTTGGTGTATCACTTAAACATTTTCAGATAAGGAAAAAGAAAAGAGAAAAAGTTTCATTAGTTTCCTTTCTTTCTCTAAGATTTTGTATCATCCTTGCAAGCATAACTTGCTGGATGCAGGCATAGTTTTTTTTCGTGTTTTTTTTTAAAATAAAATTAGCGGAGACAAGCTGATTTTGAAAATGTATTGTTACTCAATGGACTTTACAAAGTTCTTAGAAATTACAAATAAGGTCCAAAGTCATACACAACTCGTATGAAACAAAGCAAAAACTGAAGTTGCTATTCAAAAATAAAATATGAACTACTAGCTTGGTAAAGTGCCGTTGGTTGGAGTTTAATACTCAAAATTAAATTAACTTTAAAATAAAATAAAAAATAATCTCGTGAAATGTACTACTGAAAAAGCCCAACACCAACAAAGTCATTAGTAGTGATATCGATCTCCAATTCTGATCTAGTGATATTTAATATTTGTTATATGTAAATAAAAGGTATGAGCAAATCACAACTCTAGAAAACCCTATATGCCACGGCCATAAGAGTCCATGAAAAGTAATTCAATATGCATGATTATAATTTCATACGAGTCATCCATATGTAAGGAATAATGCTGTATGAAAACGTTTAATTAAATCCCAACAAAAAGTATTAAAAACAATTGGGGAGTCATAGATCAATTGATCAATCATTTAAACATTTAATTAGCTGGCAACCTCGAGTAACATGAAGCCTGGGATGGCTACATGAGCTCATGAAGAATTTTAATCCCCCAAGCACTGCCTCAATATGAGTGATGTTTTCACTTGGCAAAATGAAAACGTGTTCCCACCATGAAGATATAGAGAATCCTGTAGGAATTTGTTTACCAGTTCTGAGCTCAAATCTGCTCCAATTCACATCATCAAGCATTCACATACTACAATTATCCACACAAGCATTTGAATACAGTGCAATAATGCAAGTCTGCATGCCAGCTTGATATTCAACAACAAGAAAACAAGTGTATTAAATCTTGAAGAAACAACCATATTTTAGGGTACCGGTATGCACAAAATTTATCGGATAAGTGTCCAACTAAATAATATGACAAGTTATAATGGATGTTATGATTTTTATGGTCATATGAAAAACAATGTAATTACGAAGCTTTATGAAAGATAGGGCAACAACAACAACAACAATATCAAGCCTTTATCTCACTACGGGAGGTTAGCTACAGGAATTCTTTTTCTCCATTGTGTCTTGTTAAGAGTCAAATTCTCATTTAAATCTAAAAAAGAAAGGGCACACCAAAAAATTCCTATGACATTCAATTCCTTCAAAACAGAACTTTTTATTTAATGTTATGGCCTTCTAATTCCCGTCTGCAAATAGAGCCCTAACTATTCTTTAATTGCAAATCAATTTAACACAGGTTTTTTTAATATGAAGCTTATTAATGGCATAACCCCTTTTCCTAGGTGATAGGAAACACTTGTAGATCTCAAGTATTTTCTATCAATCTTCGGAAACAGCTAGAATTCTTCACAAAAATTAGCACAAAATCACAAAAATAGCAGATAATTTGTATTATTTGATGAAAGGAACACGGAAAATAGCAAGATACACTTGATCCTCAATTCGAGAGGAGGATCGATCTCTCCCAAATCTCTGGACGCTGCTAGAGCCCAAAGAAAACCTAAATCTAGGAGATCTCAAATTTCAGCCAAATTCAAGATGCCATAACCTTAGGAAAACAAACTATTTAATGCATACAAATCAAAAGGAAATCCCTAAACAGTCTCTACATTCAAATTTCCCTCTCAAAACCCTTAAAAAAACTTCCTAAAATGCTCGATTTGAACCAGGCGGGGGTGCGCGGCTGACGAGAGGCGGAGGCTTCCGCCTCGTTACACTTGGGCTTGTCCTGCGTGGACCGGTCTAACAATACTCTCCTCCCGAAGATTCACCTTGTCCTCAAGGTGGAGATATGCTTGTGTTCCGGTGGAGGTGGTCATCCTTGAGTTAGCTGAAAACCCTTACCAATTTGCTGAATTAGGGGTTGCCCTGAAAGAGAAATTTCCTCTTCCTCCTTCATGATCACATCCAGCTTGTGCAGTCCCACCAGAAAATCTTCCCCCACCTCTTGAAGGCCCTTAACCATGGTCTTAAGTGATACCATGACTTTGGATAGCCCCGCATTTCCCCTTATAACCACCTTTCTCCCATCCACCATTAATTCCATCATGAGTGCTCCCCAATTTTCCTTGGTTTCCCCTAAGGTTTGCAACCACTTCATTCCCAGGATGACATCAGTACTTCCTAATTCTAGTAGAAGAAAGTCCTCCCTTACCTGAATCCTCTGAATGGTCAACATCACTCCTCTACAGATCCCTTGGCCTTTCTCCACATTCCCTGTACTCATCATCACTCCATAACAACCGGTATCCACCAATTTCACTCCCAATTGGTCGACGACCTGAGTGGAAAAGAAATTGTTGGTAGCCCCACTATCAATTAGCACCACCACCTCCTTGCCCTCTATCTCCCCCTTCACCTTCATGGTATGATTCATAGTGAATCCTACCACTGAGTTTAGGGAAACCTCAGCCAAATCCAAGTGTAGCTTCTCCTCTATCTCCTCCTTACCTCGCTCCTCAGTTTCCTTGTCATCGCAGACGGTGAGAACTTGAAGAGTTCGGTCATTGCACCGATGCCTTAGCGTATACTTCTCCTCGCATCTGAAACACAATCCCTTGTCCCTCTTCTCCTGCATCTCCTTCTCTGTTAGCCTCTTGAAATTTTCCCGTCCCTCCTCCTACTGGCTTCTCCCTGGCGGTCTCATTAATGTTGTCCGAGGCAGGCTCTTTGGGTGCTAGAAGAGTGGTCGTAGTCTTGTAAGAGCCTCCTGAGCTGCTGCTCCTGGCTCCCTTCTTCAGATTCTTCTTATTTTCCACCAGCTGTGCCAATTTCATGGCCTCCTCCAAGTCACTAGGCATTAGAACTTTCACTGCGGCTCGGATCTCATCCTTCAACCCTTTCATGAAATTCCCTTCCAACACTGTATCTGAGAGTCGCTCCACCCTGCTAGCTAGGTGCTCAAACTGCTCCCGGTAATCTGCTACTGATCCCTCTTGTGTCAAAGCAAAGAACTACTCATAGAAGTCTCCTCCCCGATCGGTTTGGAAACGCTCTATTATTCAGTCTTTAAATTCCCTCCAGTTCCTGATCGGCCTCTGTTGGTCTCTCCACTGAAACCACGATAGGGCTTTCCCTTCCAAGCATAATCCTGCTGCTGTCAGCTTCTCCTCCTCTGTCAACCCATTGACGAGAAAGTATCGCTCTACCTTATAAATCCATCCATACGCATCTTCTCCTTCGAAGATGGGCATCTTCGACTTTCTCACCTTCTGGTCACCACCATTTCCCCTGATTCTTCCATAACTACCCCTTTCCCAAGTGCTCGGTCCACCCCATGTGTCCCGCTCTTCCCTTGCTCTGTCTTAACCCAAACTCCCTTCAAAATCCCCTATTTTATCTTCAAAATCAGCACCACGACTGCCGTAGTATCCCTCCCGACGTTCCCCATAACCTCCTCTTTCTTCCCTCTGGACAGGCTCCAGATGGGGTCATCTTCCTTCCCCTTCCCCGATTTCCATCTTATCTTCCTCCCTACGAATTTCAGAATTCGTGTTTTTTTTCCTCCTCTTTTGCCACGGAAGCCGTCGTTTAGTTGTGGATTTCCAACATTTTCTTTATCATGTCCCGAAGATCGGCTACTTGTCCTTCCATGGAGGAAATCCTTTCCTCCACCGTTGTCTTGATTTGATTCATCTCCCTTTCAAGCATTTCTTCTAGCGCATCAACTTTCTTGGCCGCCATCTCGATCCGAACTTTTGTAAATCCAAAAATTTCGGATTTGGATTACAAAAACAGCACTTCGTTCCTTCCCGACCAGAAATCAGCCGCCGCACTTCGCCAAAATCAGGCCACGAACGGTCCCAAGACTTGCTCTGATACCAATTTGATAGGAAACACTTGTAGATCTCAAGTATTTTCTATCAATCTTCGGAAAACTGCGAGTTCTTCACAAAAATTCGCACAAAATCACAAAAACAGTTGATAATTTATATTATTTGAAAGGAACACGGAAAATAGCAAGATACACTTGATCCTCAATTCAAGAGGAGGATCGATCTCTCCCAAATCTCTAGATGCTAGAGCCCAAAGAAAACCTAAATCTAGGAGATCTCAAATTTCAGCCAAATTCAAGATGCCCTAACCCTAGGAAAACAAACTATTTAATGCAGACAAATCAAAAGGAAATCCCTAAACAGTCCCTTATTCAAATTTTCCTCTCAAAACCCTCAAAAAAACTTCCTAAAAGGCTTGGTTTGAACCAGGCGGGGGCGTGCGGCTGATCGAGAGGCGGAGGCTTCCGCCTCGTTACGCTTGGGCCGGTCCCGCGTTGACCGGTCTAACACCAGGTTAAGCAAAATAATAAGTTAAAATCTGCTAGCTCTCTGTATCCTCTCTGATTTTATTGTAGCTGCAGCCACATGTGGAAAATGAGCTTTCCATTCAATTCAAATTTGATTTCATAACAAAAATATGATAAGTCACACAGACTTTTTTATTTATGAAGATCAAAAAAAGATTTTGGAAGTCTATTCAAATTTAAAAGAAACTAGAAAATATGTAATACTTTAAAAAGTGATAATTCCTAAATTCTCTAAGGTGCTCGGTCCATTGGATAAGGAGGATTTTGTATCGGAAATTTATATTAGTTTCATTGATTTCTCCAACTTGTTTCTGTCATCTCTACTTGCGCTCCACTTAACTGGAAATTCTATATTACAATTTATGTTTGCAAATCAATCCATTCTTGCCAGCTCTTTGGATCACACAACATTTATCACATCAGACACACTTTTTTATTTATGATTTATCTTTATCGGGCAGTTCTTTTCTAATTTGATAGTCCAATATTTTTTTTTTATGGATCAAAAAATACTTTGGATATTAAATTTTCTTTTTGAGGTTGATTTCTAATGTTGGAGTCGCCAACTTCTTTATCACAGTCCGTGTCGTGTCGTATCCGTGCCAGCATGTCCGTGTCTGTGCATCATAGAATATTTTTTTTTTTATGGATTTTACAAAATTTGGATATTAAATTTTCTTTTTGAGGTTGATTTCTAATGTTGGAGTCGCCAACTTCTTTATCACAGTCCGTGTCGTGTCGTATCCGTGCCAGCATGTCCGTGTCTGTGCATCATAGCAGCCAAGTTAAATGTGATACCAAGTACGTAGGAGGGAGGGAGAAAGGGACACTTTTAGACAATTTGACCTTGGGCCTTGGTCTATGCCATAGGCGATTTGTATAACTTGATTCTTGCTCTTCCGTTCTGTTACTTCACAAGGCATCATGCTTTGCTTCAAAAGACATTATCTTGGTCTTTATTGGACCTGTTTACCTTGTTTAGTTGCTCTAGCATCATTATGTATATGTCTATCTTTTTCTTTTCTCAGCTTTTAAGAATCAATTGTATGAACAGTCCATCTTTGCTATCAATTGTTACATGATTTTTTAGCTTTAGTTTGTGAAGATGTCTTGGGCACAATTTCTAGCCACTTTAACAATAGAAATATTTTGGGTCAAAAAGCTATGCGGCAAAGAGCTTTTTTGTTTTACTTTTGATTCTTTTATTTTTAAAAATATTATCAAGTATTTTAGCGATATTGTGATTGCTATTGATTTCTTTTTATAACGGAATAATGAAACAGACTAGACATCTCTCACTTATTCATATATCTTACCTCTGTCAGGTTGATCCCCATGTATGAGTCCCTTTTACTGCAAGTCACTTGGTGAATGTAATTGGAAAGCCTATGTGTTAAGCATGGAGCTTCCACTAATTTGACAACAGGCGTTAGTGCTTTTATGCTGAATAATCACCCTTTTTCATCCTGAAATGAAGACTTAACTGATAGGCATCCCTTTTTTTTAACTTGCTACAAAAATAGTCTTTTCAGCTGTCAATAAGGAAGTATTTTCAGCAACGTCCCATTCACGGGCAATGGTCTAAATCTTATTGTGAAGCATATGATGTGTTACGGGGCATCATACCCAATGCTAGTCTATGATCAACTACGCTTTCATTGTGCTTGCCGAGTATTGATCTACCATGCAAATTACATCTTATTGGTTGAATACCCAACGTCTCTATATTATATTGTAAAGCCTATCTTATGTTAAACGGCATCGTACTTCCATTATGCTTATTGATTATTGTTCTACCTTGCAAATTATGGTTTTTCCCTTCAAGCTGATTGTTTGTTTCAATTGCCAGATAGGCCAGTTGCTACTAAAATTTATTGCAGTTATTCTAACAGATTTTGGTGCATGTCACAGACCGAACAACAAGTGCTTTTGGAATCTCTTATATGCAGAATGGAAGAAGACTTCGAGAAAATTCTGATATGTAAAATGGATATAGATTGCATGAAAGCTCTTTCTTTTGATACTGAGGTCAGTGTAATGTTTAATCTGCTTCTTGTCATTGTAATCAATTGGGCCTATTTTTCTGTTGGCTATTTTTGTGCAGATCATGCTCCATAACAAGAGTCCAACTTGGCGCATAATTATGCTTCTTATTGTTGACTGCACTGTGAAGAATAACATACTGTACCTACTTGAAAGTATCTTAGAAGTTTTTGATAATGTTTGGCTTAATGAGTGTAGCACATCAGCCTTGTTGGCTAGTGAGACCATTAGAGTTACGTTGACAGTATGGTCAAATAATTTTAGCTGGTCATAGGAAATTGAACAAGTCATCAATGAAAACTAGGTACCTTGAGTTATCAAATTCAATATATTCTCTTCAATTTGCCTAGTTAACCATGCTCAATGTTCTTGAAAAGAATATGAGAGAATTTGTTGATTAGTTCATTCCATCATTTGTGCTTAATTTATGCAAGTCTAGGAGAACTTGTTATAGGAAACATTTAAAATTTCGAGAATGAAAAATAATTACAAAATTAATTATAATTAAGATAACTCATAATTTAGTGAGGTGGCAGTAATAATCCTATGGATCAATGAGGTGGCATGAGGAAAATAAGGAAGGTGGAATGCTTGTTTACAACTAACTATCTTGGTGATATTGCTGGCAACATCTAGCTAATGGGCAACCTTGGAGGCAAAGAGTCGGTGAGAGTCAACATGGCATGCATTTAGTTCAGTATGGGGGAGCTGAGGTGAAAGTCTTGCCATGAATAGCTGGGGGAGGAATCCCAGGAGTTAAACTTGGATTTGATTTTCCACATTTCCTCTCAAGCAACTGAATGGATGCTATTTATTACCAGCTTGCATGCCAATTTTTTAAAGATTGTCCATAATAATCATTTGGCAAGAATTTTGGCAAGTTGCTTACATGTGGCTATGAACATAGTATGAATTAGACCATTGTATAGCATCTCCTTAATAAAATGTCTGTCAATTTTGGTATGTATCATTTCATCATATTGCACAGGATTGTGCAATATTGATAGCTAATTTTCATCATAATTGAGTCTCTTAGGATCTTTCCATAAACAACCTTTAAATCATCCAGAATAAATTTTAGCTATAGCAACTCATAGATTCCTAATGACATATATTTATATTCTACTTTTGCACTAGATCTTGCCTTAATATTTTATTTTTACTTATCCAAATTATATGTTTGCCCTAAAAAAAGGTCCAATATCCTGAAGTTGACCTTATGTCAATCATCAACTCTACATAATCCACATCTTTATAGGCTTCAAGTATTAGTTCATCCTCTTTGAATAAATTTCTTTTATCTGTGGTTTCTCTTAGATATTGTAAAATTTGACATATTGAACTAAGATGTGATTCTTTTAGATTGTGCATGAATTAACTTACCACATCAGCAACAGAAGCAATATTAGGTTTAGTATTTATTAAGTAGATAAGTCTTCCTACAAAAACTTATCATTAAAATTTATGGGGCTTGCAACAGGTTTGCATCCCAACTTACCTACTTTTTCGATAAGTCTATTGTGTATTTTGTTGTGATATGAAAATTTTATGTCAATAGCGCAACTTCAATGTCGAGAAAGTATTTTAACTTACGTAATTCTTTGAATTCAAATTCTTGGAGTATCATTTTGTTTAAAGTTCATATTTCTTTCATGTCACTAACTATAGTGATGATGTTGTCGAACATTAATAGTGTGGGTATTCCCTTTGAAGTTGTGTGTTTCACATGTAATATATGGCCTCCATGACTTTATTTATATCCCCTGTGAAGCATTATCTTGGTGAACCTTCTAATTATGCTATTGGGGATTGCTTCAGTTCATACAATGTCATTTTTAGTGTACATACCCTTTGTTCTTCATTGAAGTCAAATCTTGGTGGGAACTCCAGTTACACTTCTCCTCTAGATCACAATGTTGGAATTCTTTCTTCACATCAACTTATTGTATCTTTCTGTTTCTTTTAGCTGCTAATGATAAAAAAACTCAAACATTGTTCATTTTGAAAATTTGAGCAAAAATTTTAAGAAAATTAATCCCATAAGTTTTATTATAGCCTTTTCCCACCAGTTTGGCTTTATAGCATTTTTTGAGCCATTAAATTTGTTCTTTACAAGAAAAACTCCTCTATGTTCTATTGGCCTCTTTTCTTTGGTAGTGTCCCAAATTCTCATGTTTTGTTCTTTTGAAGGATTTTTATTTCTTTTCACATAGCATTATTTCAATTCATTTTATTTAAAGCCTCAGAAATGATTTTAGGGATAAAAATAATATGGAGGCTGGTAAGGATTGGTGACCATGAGAAATTTTTTTTATGATAAGAATATAAGGAATGTTTAATTGAAGTATCTGTACCTTTTATATGCAGGCCCAATGACAGGCTCAATGATTCTCTTAGCAGGCTTGATGCCAGGGATTGATTATGTTGATTGGAAATACAAAGATTGAGCTCCCTTCCTCGAGTAAACTTGTAATGATTGAATTGAAGATAGTTCTGGTGTAAGATTGATTTGTGTAGGAGTGGCTAATTTTGGAGTAGAGTTGATTTTAGGGTGAGGGTATGAAAGGGAAATTTAGGAGTTAAAACTCATTTGTTAATGATATTTCTTATTTGGATTAAGTAGCATCAAAGTAGAAATCCTCCTCATTGAAAGCGACATTTGCAGACACGAACACCTTTCTCGGGGAATAGTAGTATTTTTATCTATTTTTGAGTGAAAGAGTAGCCAATAAAGGCACATTTTATCATTCTCGGATCAAAATTTCATCTGTATTAAGGATGTGCATGGACAACGGCAATGCTTCCAAATATCTTGAGAATAAGATTATTTGAGATGTTGAGTTGAGAAAAGAATTTTTCAGGATTCATGTAGGACTTTTGAATTTAACCACCTTTGTAGGTACTAGATTTAAGTTGTGAGAAACTATTAAAACAACTTCCTCCCATTATAATTTTAGAATATTATTTTAAAATGGCGAGCTTCTGTTGTTGTAGGTACGTGGTTGTTCTTTTGTTAGGTTACCCTCTTTTGTTAGGGTGTGTACATACAAGAGAACTCATATATTATTTATTTATTTATTAAATATGAGAGAGAATTGCTAAAAAAAGTCTTTGATATTACTGTATTTGACTCTTTTAGTTTTAGTATTGAATTGTTTTTTGATCGTGTTGAAACAGGTGGAAAGGATGACACGTACATAACTTTTGACTTTTAGTAGAATGATTCATGGCTCACGGGTGCATTCATCTATTAAGTACACAAACCACCACACCTTGGAGATGTTAGGTGTAGAGGATAGTCACCAAATGTCATTATAAAGGAGGGAAAAAAGCTATAGGCTGTTGTATCACTTATTGAAAAATTAGCATGATTGTATTTTGCTAATTAACTATTATTATAATTGCAGCTCATCCGGAGCCAACCTCCGAGTATTAAAGTGTTTCCAACAAAATGCAATTCTGAAGTCAAAATTAGTGCCACTTTACTTAGTTTTTTTAACTTATTTTTATTAGTAAAAACCTCATCCCCTGGCTAGAAAATACAATACCTGCATTAGGATACCACAGACGAAGGGCATTCAGCATTTGGAGATATCCTTAAGACGTCTTAATCCCATAGCTTTAATGAAATTACAGTGGGATAAAAGTCCTTATTTCTGCCATTTCTTCCAATTGAAATTACAGCAGGTTTGTAATGGTGCTTTGGGAACAAAATAAAAGTGCATTAAAGAAGAGTATGGCGACTATGAGCTCACTTAGTGTATAATTTTTACACATTTAACCATTTCTGCCATTTCCTTACAAAATACTTTTAACCATTTCCACTTTAAGGTATAATTTATACTTTTAACTGCTTTATTTAAAAAAGATTACGCAATTTACTTATAATTTATATTTATCTCAACAATAAAATTGACTTGTATAAATATATTAACTTATATGATTGATGAAAAAGAAGAGTGAAGTACCTTTTTTTTTCTCTCACATTTCGGCAGTTGTCTTCTAATTTCAACCTTGTGCAAATATTGTAACTTCTCTTCTCCATTCTCTGTATATTTCCTTATTATAACACTTTATATGCTATCACAATCACTTTATCTTCTACGCTTCAATGGTTCACTTTCTTTTATGATTCACATTTCCAATGAATAAGATTTTTAGATTTGCATCTGGTATGCTAATTTATAGTCAGTTTTATGATTATGGTACTAAAATTTGATATTTGATGGATTCTGAGAATCAGGGATGGTGCAAAAAGGATGACATTAATAGTTTTGGAATGTAGTTTTTGCTTGCTTGAAACGCTCACATTGCTAAAAACTCTTGGAGCAGAAATGTTACTGCTCAAGCTACTTTCTTCTCTTCACAATCAGCCCAAAATAAGATTAGAATTTCCATGAAGTTGTTGAACCCAAAGAGAAGTTTCAAACTCTTCAATCTTTTAATTTGAGTTGAAATGGCTTGATTTGGTTAAACAATGAGGGGTGCTACTTAGCAAAGCTCTTCTCTGCTTGATTCTTATCTTAGGACTGCTAGGGCAAAATGTAGAATGAATGAAAAGATAATCTTCGTGGGTTATCTATAGCTTAGTCAAAGGGTCCTTCAGGCATTTTGATATGATTGTTGGCCAAAATTGTAATTTGATGACCATGACGTCTCTGGAAGTTGTTGCAGTGCAGAATTGGTCTGTACAACTTACCGTGTTCAACTTTTTCTTGATGAGGTTTAGTGTGCCGTAGCAAGGAACATCATATTTTCCTTGAAGTGCTTATGAGAGACAACATGGTAGATGTTGACAAAGATGTTGGTAGGCCTGCATATGGTACCATGTCAGGCAGGAGAATCATGCCCATTTAGATAAATGTTCAGTGCAGCTTGTAGAGTGATTTCTATGTTAGTCCAGATTATTTTGGCCTGACTTAAATTCTCCGGCCTTAGTCGAATCGGCCATGGCTTTTCCAGTGAATTTTGGCCAATTACTCTCT